GAGAAAGAAAAATTTGTTTTAGAAGCTGAAAGCCCAGCTGCTGACTTAGTAAAACAAATTATGAGAAATTTATTTACGTGAAAATTCATGCTGTTAGAAAAAAATGAGTGTTCCAAATTTTCTATAAACGGTAACAAGATGTTCTACCCAAAAATATCTGAAAAGCACATTGAATACCTGCTTTGAGTATTTGACTTGAAGGAAAACATCCTCACTAGTTTGGTCTACTGCTTTGATAGCAATATGTCTTAAAAATCTAATCGTCTCACTCTACCCTTCCCTGGGAACATGAAGGAATATCCTGCCCTTAAGGGTTGTGAGACCCTGATGTTCATTACCAAAGAACTCCAGTGACTTTTCTTTGCGGATTTTAAATAGCAAACCATTTCGAAGTTGTTTTAAGCCTTCTAGAACAAGCAGATTCGGTATGTAGTTGCTTTTAATAAAATTATTTGAAAGTTCAATAAAGACAGCTATGATTTTTCCAGGACCCTTTATAATTCTGTGATTACATGAATGATTACCCAGAATTTCCACAGAACACAGATATATTAATAGAAATTGCTGTGGCTGGCTATAATTTGTTTTGGTGTGGAAATATGTTTGGTTTTTCTATTCTTATGTCTCCTCTGATACAAAACTGTAATATCCCAGATACGTAGGCAACATATCTGTAGCCATCTTCACAGTCTTGACATTCATAATAATTCTATTATGCTTTAATCTTAGTATATCTGGCACCCTAATGCAAAGATATAGGTATTTCTTTTAGCAAGTCTGTCATATCTTTGGGTTTCTAACAAAGTAAATTTGAAGACTGTTATCCATTTTACAAAATATTTATGTAATTATTTGACTAGCAAACTCTCACAATGCATTTTAAAATATTACCCACTTTATAGAAATCCATTCTGAATACAAGTGGGGGAACACCCATAGAGCTTATTTCATTGAGTTGTTGAGTCTCTAGCCAATAAGCTTTTATACTTTGTCTTGAAAGATGGACCCTGTCTTGTCAACGTCAGTTCCAGTATACTCGTTGAGACTGGATAAGGAATATGAAGTGCGCGTGAGATCCAGACAACGAAACTCTGAAAAATATGGCGAATTCAGTGAGGTGCTCTATATAACACTTCCTCAAATGAGCCCATTTGCATGTGAAGAAGGTAAAACAATAAAAGATTAAAATGGCAGCTAACATGGCTTTTGTTAATATAAAAGTTGATACATCCCTACACTGTTAGCGTGTTGTCCAGATCAAGATATATTAACATCAAAGATCAGGGTGTGAGACCACAAGCTCATTTATCTGTAACAGATATTATCCATTGCAAAAGCAGAAGGAGGATATAGTTTCCAAATTATTTAATTCAGGAAAAGTCCTGGAGTAGAAA